GGAAAAATGTTTTGAAGACGATAACATTTTAAGTGCAAAAAAAATTGTGATTGAATTTGAATTGAATTTCATGAACTCACCTCAAAAGTGCCCACACTGCCTTCCAAAAACAGTTCCAAATCAGGGTCGAACTGCAGAACCACATACTGTATTCAATATTCAGCAGTAAAAAAAATTCAAACTAATCATATTAAGAACGTTATTTTTTTCAGCAGGTAAGCTACTTTACTTCTGCCCCATCTGAGGAAATGACTATTAACCCTGTAATTTGAAAACAAACACTGACCAAAATGATGGCGCTCAGGCTCTTTTATATCTTTAGAGGGTTATGTTCTTCTGAATTACAAGTGTCCAAAATGAAGAAAGAAATTACATTTATTCCACCTATCACAATCTTTGCTCATACTGCAATGATATTGCTGTAGGTACAATAATTATAGGATTTGTATTCCTTGAGGGGATACTCCGAACTCATAATCAAACTCAAAATTATATAAAACTTAATTCAGCAGTGGAATAAATATCCAAACAGTTCCTGGGTTGTTTTTGTCACTTGTACAATGCAGCAAATTCTTGCTCAATTTGTTTTTGTTCATTTTTAATTTTACTTCAGTACTATCTTTTTTCTTGCTTGAACACATTTGGTGCTATGGCTGAAAATCAATCTGGATACTTGCTGCCTTGTGTCAGATGCCTACTTGGTGCGACTAAAGCCAGAGAAGGCTTAGCAGGAATTAACAAGTGCTAGTTACCATGATTACAGCTTTTGTGTCATGCTCGTCAGCAACAGTGCAAAACTGTTGATTATTTTCTTATCAACTGCTGGTGGTTCACAGAAAAAAACTCCTGACAAGCCATTAAATCTGAAATGAATGTTTTTATCCCATCCTTAAAATAATCTCTGCTGTTCCTGCGCTACAAGACCTGAAAAAGAGAGGAGAGTCATGAAGGACGTTTGCCTGAAAAGATATTGGAAGTAAAAAAAAATCCACAAAATGCATGGTAAAAGAGTAAGTATTTGGTGAGTACTTTGGTACTGTGGAGGTTTGCTATGATGGTTGGATATTTGATGATGCCAAATTGTACCCCAAAATGTCTCACAAAAGCCAAACCTTCAGACAGTTTTCATGGTGAAATGCTGAAAACAAGATCAGATTCTTCTAAACTAGCACCAATTCAAAAACATACAAAAGGAAAAGAATGGTAGTAAGTTATAAGACAATATGTTTATGGGCACCAGCACAATCAAAATTCTTTTCCCAAACAAATTTCTCACCACTATAGCCACTTGAAGAACCCAAGAAAGCATGGAATCAGAAATGACCATTCAGTCCATCAAACTCCTTCTCCTAGGGGGAAAAAAGCCCCACTTATATATTCCCAAAAGCCTAAATGTAAAATGAACAAAAACTACAGAATATTCATTGATCTCCACTGTTCAAAAATCTAACAATGTCACTACCATTCACACATCCAATGACACAACGGTGAAACATTGATTGTAACGAGAAAGACTCACTCCAGCACTACCTGGAGGATGACAAGGATAAAGAATTTATTTTGAATGGAATTACATGCAAGAGAGAACTGACAAAGTGAGACACTGTGATAAAAATACTTGGCTAAAATACGATCCCTTGTGGAGAGTCTTTGCAACACTAAATTAACATTCAACCACTACTCCTTCTCTAACTGATTAAATGAGATTAAAATTTAATTTGGCTCTAAACTTTCAATTCTCAGTTAGCTTTCTGAAATAAAGATTCTCCCAAATCTACATGTATAGAACTAAACAAAGGTTTATACCATTTTCTGCACCCAGAATTTGTTTTTTAAAAAAACACTGTCATTTTAATAATGAAATATTTAGGAATGAGTCACTTTAGAGAAGCTTAAGAAGTCAGTTACACCCTATAGAGGGTGCTATTTCGATCTGCTTCAATTTGGGAAGAAACCTAGTACCTTTTAACTACAAACCTTAATGTGGCAAATTAAAGATCATATATAGCAAAACTGTTAAGTAATTGTATGCACAGCATCAATTTGCAGCATTTATTTTTACAAAAGGATGAGAGCAAAGGGATTTTTTTCTAGACAGCAAGTAGTAAGAAGAGCTTCTGTGACCTTTCATGTGTCAGATAATTTGTCAGTTCCAAAGTGCTCACCAGTATCCTGCCGTTGATCTTTCAACGCCATCATCAAACTTCAAGAGAGCATGTGCCCCGAGGGTTTCTACCTGAAATGGGAGGTTACTCATACTTTGCTAACCCTTTGAAGAGGATTATGTAGACATAGGCACTTCTGCAGCAAGCTACTCAGTTATGCATCCAGGGTTTGTATGCAGTGAAATCATAACTCATTCCTCTATCCACTCACAGTACTGGAACACAAAGAATTCTCAGGGGTTTACAGCAAAATGAACCAGACCGAAGAAAAAAAACTCAAATCCTTCTGAACCAAGCTGTAAACCCCGAAGTCAGTCAATATACATTTAGAGATTTTTTTGAAACCTTAGGCAATGAATGAAGCCAATAAATACCAGAACGTACCTATTGCATATCAAAGCAGGGAATTAAAATTTACATTTAATTCATTATTTAACATCTTCCATTAATTTTACCACTTGTACTGAAATATTATTTTATGATCCTTCAATATACAGTAAAACTGTTGACAAGTACACAATATACCAGTATAAGACCGTGTTCCAGCTGTCCATTGGAAAGTCGGTCTGTCATATAGCCAGAGGACAAGGAGTTCTTATCTACAATTTTTCGATCACCAACAATAGGCAGCTCATAAAAAAATCTTTATTGGAGATAATAATAATCCACACATTTTTATATAGCACCTTATGTCGTCGAGACGTTTCAAAGCTCTTCACAGAATATACTTTAAAGTTTTGTAACCGTTTGCTTTGTGCGCGTAAATTACACAATCAATGATAATATATAAAATGATCAGCTATGCACTCCAGCATTTTATTTGCACTATTAACCACATGGGCAAACCGGTTTCAAAACAGACTCAAATGTGTTTTGTATTTCACCGTATTAGCCATATTCGTGCTAATATAGTTAAATCCAACATGCACAGAAAATAATGATTTAATCTGTCTAATTAATGCCTCGTATGCCGAATGAAGTAATAGACCATCCTAGGGCAAAGCAAACATTTTCTGAATGAATAGTTTTTGTTAGATTAGAAAAATGGTTTCACTAACCAGTTTTCTCACAAAACAAAATGCTGTTATATTGCCGTACTGCTGGAAATAATTAAGACACCATGCATTGAGGCCACCCAGCTCTTTATTGTTAACTCAGCTTCCAACGGTAACAATCCAGAAACAGTCAGCAACCATAGCAACAATTCTATTCTGGCCTCATGGATTCAGACGCTTTCAAATCTGCAATATGCTAATTCAGTTGAACCTCTTCAAGGCTGAACAGCTGAACTATACTGTCAGATGTACAGTAAAGCTCATTCACATTGCTGAAATGCATGGCATACCATATCTTTGTCAGGAAAACAAAAGTTCCTAGAATTGGGCTATAACCATTTCATTTCAACTCGTTTAAGTTAATGGTAATCGTAGCCAGAGAGGTCTCCGGTAGAATTTAGCCCTCATGAACCCTGCAGACTACACCTTTGTTAGAGCTGCCTGTGCACATGTCAAACTATGCTGGATAACAGCTGTAATATCCATATACTTGGTAACATGCATGATCAACACTACACAAACAGAAAACAAGCAGCAGTAAAATGGTCTTGCACAAAGTGCAATTTATGCTGACTTTTTTTTTAAAAAAAAGCCAAAAACTTGTCTCCTGCTTGCTCATCCCAAACTCATTGCTGGACATGAATCAAAACAGTTTTTTTTTTAAAAAATCAAGGGATGAGTTCATTTTTAAGCACATTTTAAACTGCAAGGCGACCGTGTTATAAGTTGCCTCATTAGAGAGCAAGTCCACCAACAACATAGGTTCCCTGTAGACCTAGCGGTACCCAAAATGAAGGGCACTTGTGCCACAAACTGGCAAGCTTCCTGCACATGAAGCTGTCTGCTCACTACTTTCTCAAGCATTTCTAGCGCTAGGAATAATTTTTCCCCTAGGTTACTTACCCTAAGCAAGTTTACTAAAAGAGGATCAAATTTAAGTAATCACACTTTGAATTGCTTAGAAGCTTATTCCACCTTTAGGATGCTCATATTCCCAAACCACTCTGAACTCAAAATCTACTTAAAAGTGAACTGATGAGACTTCTGATTGCTCCTTTTACAGACTTACTGCAATTTAATTGAAGACAAAAGACATTACAATTTGGGTTACATTCTTAAGTCTAATACCATTGTGAGTATATCCCAGCCCAGCCCAACCATATGCCAATTCAAACACCATCAACTCAGTTTAAGCAAATGAACTCATTAAGCTCATATATCAACTTGCCGATACGATACTATAGACAACATAAATTCTCCAAAGAGAACTAGAAAAGATCCAACATATAAATTGAGAAATTGCTCAATTTCATGGGTATATAAAACATTCAGTAAAAATGAATAGTGCCTAAATAAAGAATTCTTGATAGTTCAAATCTCTACGACACAAAGTTTATATTGCTCCATATTCAAGGAATAATTGCTTCCTGATCAATGTACAAGCATTGGAATTACAGCTTGCAAATAAACAAATTACATTTAAGGCATTGAAATTAACTTATTCTAAACATATTCTAACATCCTAGGAAAGTGAAGATTTTCCCCAAATTACTGGGCATGGTCTATTGCATATGGAATACGGAAATAAATTGAGTGAGTGGTAAAAGATAGCATCATCAACAATACAGCATGGTCCCAGCTCTGCATTAGAGTGTCAACCTTGACTAATGAGCTCAAAGTCCTCAGCAGATCAGAACCTTTTGCTAGGATCCACGTTCTTCTTTTAAAAACTGGGCAAGATGATACAAGGTGAAAATCGCATGGACCCTAAAATGTTTACCTGTGTTATCTGGAGAGCTCATGATTCATCTGGTCTAGCTGCAAACACCTGCTGCACAATGGCGGTTCGTTCACGATACACAAACCAACAGATCTTTAGATGCTGCCGTTAGTCAAGATGGCTGCAGATCCTGCTTGCTTTCTGCCCTAGGCTGCCATTTCTTCTCATATCAGGCACACAACAGCTCTTCTTAAGAATTATGCTGCAACACAACAGAAAACAACATTATATATGGCAGCATTATACATAAAGTCTCTGTGGGTGATCAATTTACTGTACAAATTACTATCGAGACGTGAATATTTGTTAGCATGATAAAATATATTTCTAGATATGCAACTGGTGTATTTGGAAAGGCCATAGTAAATTTAAAATCTTGAACACTAATTTGTTGTAACTTTCATGAGATCAGAATATAAATTTCTGCAACAACAGAGATTTCAATGCTTAGCTTATGGTTTAGGCTTGCCTGGATTCAATAATTTTTTATAAACTTAGAAATTAATTGATGTAGAAGCTGAGCATGCGAGAAGGGAAGAGGAGCCTAAAAACATACATGAAGAGTGAAGGACTCACCACCAGATGTCTGAAACATGCAATTTTACTGAGATGGCAGAGAAAGCTTGGTGTTTGACTGATTTTGGCTTGCAGGATCAATGGGTGTCCGATAAAAACACAAATAATAATCCTTGCATTTGATACAGTGCCTTATCCCTTCTTCAAGACACCTCAAAGTGCTTCACAGAGTATACTATAAAGAGAATTGACTGTAGATTTTGTGGGCGAAACGCGGCAGCCAATTGTGCACAGCAGTGTCACACAAACAGTCATGGATTGAGTGACCAATTTATTTATTTATGATTATTATTTTTTGAAGAAATTATTACTCCCAGAAAAGCGATCCGCCAATTGACTAACACCGGGTTCCTATTTACTGCTAGGTAAATAGAGGCATGCAGAGTAAGGAAATTTGCACAATGTTTCACCCTGGTAAGAATCAAACCCAGGTTTCTCCTTTGCGAGGCGAGTGCTCTATCATTGAGCTATAGGGCTCCACGCATATACTTAGACTAATTCAGAGGAGGAAAGGATTTGCGACCGATTCAGTAGAAAAGCAGAGTGTCTTTTACAGGTCAGTGGAGTCCACCATTGGTTCACAAATTAAAATTCCCAGAAGAATATATCCTGACCTTCAAATTAAAACTGTGAAAAAATCTGGCAAAGGAGATAATTCGTTGCCTTAAAGCCTACAAAATAGAAGCCGCACAGTAAGGGAATTGGATTGCTCAACGTATGAACAGCAAATCATTCAAAAATAAAAATAGAATAAAAATAAAATGTGATTCAGTCCTCAAAACAGGCATAACTGGGAAGAACGAGACAAAGAAAGGAAGAAGTGGCAGATTTCTTTGTGCTTTGAGGAAATTTCAATGAATGTTGCTTGTGGCTCCAGTTTAATAGCTATGTCCCAAGTATACATTGGCAATGCACACTTGTCCGGAATTACAACATAAATATCTTCTGGAAGTTTTCGCTCGCCATCAAGCAGAAATTAAGTATCTCTTGAATGATGAGAAAATCTCTCAAGTAAAATCAATCAGAACCCATAGTTAGGAGGGCCAAACAGCAATTAATGTACTTGCACTGTTTTATAGTTGAAAAATCAATGAACGCAATCCGGTTGAAAGCATCAGTTGTTCTTTAGTGAAATGTGGGTGCTATTTCTTTATGATTTCAAGGTGTCTTGGGAGAGAGTGTAGCCTGGAATGGAAAAACTGTGCATTAAATCAATAGCGATTCTGCAATGTACATTCAATGTTTAATAAAGGACCTACAAGAGACAAACACCTACTGCTCATCCCATGCATTTCCCATCCTTTGCACCTAGTCTTTGTTCATGGAATTAATATTGATTGGTGCAACCACACCAATCTATTATGCACCAATATTATGCATTTTCCTGCAATATTCAAGCACATAAACAAGCTGAAATTAATATTTTTTGAAGCGTGTTTGATAAACAGTGTGAACCAATAATTTGGGCTGTCATGCTCATTTTCCAGACTTGAGGAAGAAATAGTCATACATGAGCTTTGGAACAACATTATAGACTCATTTAAAGAGGAGGCAGTCACTTCAAAGAAGACAAAGAAACTGCGTCTGATGTTCGAGGCTGATGGAAACCACCTCTATTGAAAGAGATCTTTTCTCTGTGTGCTTCTGAGAAAAAGCCACCAAGCAGAGTCGCTGATGGAAACAAAAGCAAGACTGATACATCGCATCAAGACAATGATTAACTGATGTAAAAATTTGCTGTTGTCCACAAAAATGCCATGAAGTGCAACTCAACACAATGGGCTCCAAAAGGCAAGCCCAGTCATCTACAACAAAAGCGTTTGTATCAGAGTTCCAAAAGAAACTGATCACAACTGTAGATCGCAATGTTCCCGAGGCGCTCTATGGATCATATTCTTTTTTGCCAATTGCAGAATTTGATCCATTTTTGAAGGCTCAGGTAACAAGCTGTGTTAGCAACTATGAAAATATTCTGCAAATTTTCCCTTGCAATAGAGAAGAATTCAAGCATGATTTTGACATCTACAAGGCATGTGATGTGCCTTACAATGAAAGTGTAAGATCATCTGAATTTTGGAGAAATACAACCCAGCCATGGTCTACCCTGTCCAGTGGGATATTGTGATACCAGTCACTTCAGTGTCCAAGGTAAGGTCATTCAGCCAATCGGTAAAAGTTTAAGACAAGCATTGAAAGCAACAACAACAACAAGATTACATTTGTATAGTGCCTTTCACATCGGAAGAACGTCCTAAGGCGCTGCAAGATGTACAGCATTTCAGACCCGAGCTGGGGTCAGGAAGGAAGAAGGGAGGGGAGGAAGGGTGACCGATGGCATGGTCGAAGAGAAGAGTTTTGAGACGGGACTTGAAGGAGGCTAAGGAGGGGCCGAGGCGGAGTGATTGAGGGATGGAATTCCAGAAGTTGGGGGCAGAGTGCCTGAAAGCTCTCCCGTCAATGGTGGGGCAGGTGGGTCGGAGGACGTGGAGCAGGCTGAGCGGAAGGAGTGGGCGGGTTGGTGGGGGTTAGGAGGTCTCAGAGTTAGGGTGGGGTGAGGCCATGGAGGGCTTTGTAGGTGAGGACCAGGATCTTGAACTGGATCCTCTGAAGGATAGGGAACCAATCGAGTCGGGCGAGAACGGAGGAGATGGAGTCACGGAGTTTGGTGTGGGAGAGGACACCGGCTGCAGAATTCTGGATTATCTGTAGCCTGTGGAGGGAGGAGTTGAGAAGTTGATGCTGCCAGAGCCTGAGGTACAGAGGCGATGGCACGAGCCAATCAGGAGGGCCTCAGTCTTGTTCACATTCAACGGTAGGAAATTTGCCCTCTTCCAGGACGTGATGTCCAATAGGCAGTCTTAGGACAGCAGTGCTCCTGGAGTTGAGGTTGGAGGCAGAAAGATAGAGTTGGATATCATCCGCATACATATGGAAGTTGACCCCATGTCTGCGGATTATGTCACCAAGTGAAAGCACCTCTATGAAAGAGACATACAGCTCAACATTTTGGAGCACAATAAGGATTATAATATCATCTTGAGAGCTTTCGAAATCCGGAACAAGTTTGCTGGCTTAATCAAAAAATTTAAATATTCTAAAATGTAAAGTGATGCTAACAAATAGTTTTAAGTGAATTTCAACTCTAATTGAACTCTGACCAACTGCATTCATATGACATTAACATCACCCTAAAAGGCCATGATTATTTGATCATCTCTTTCTGTAGAACATTTAGATTAGATTTTCTAAATCTAGTATTTGTCCATCTTTTTAATGCAACGGAGCATTAATTAATACTGATAGGACGTACTGATAGCACTCCAGTCTCTCCGTTTACTACTTTGTGGTGAAGAAAGGTACTTTTTGTAAACTTATCTTAATTGAGGCATACCAGTGTAGCACTCGTCTTGTAATGTTGCAATCTCGTTTCTCCAAGAAAAACAACTGAGTCACGAGTACAACTGATCAGAAAAATAACAAAGGAGTATTCACTTCCCGTGATGGGTCCAAGAAATACAATATTGCAAATTTAGATAAATTAAATTTAGATAAATTATATCCATCCTGAAAGTGCTAGCCCCCCCCCCCCACTACCGTCACCCTCCTGCTATCCGTCAGGAGGGTGGCGGTAGTGGGGGGGGGGCTATGGTGCAATGTCTGGATTTTGGATAGTTAGGTAAGAAGATGTCAGGGTCCACACCCAATTGCATTATAAATGAACTTGGGTTCTTATACCCTTTATATGTACTTCAAAACATTGACCACAGAGTGGCCAGCTGATATCTAATCCACTTTCCTTGCTCCAATGGATCTGTCCAACAATGTAGTTAATTCAGATGGAAGAATGCGCTCAGACTGTGTTCATTCATGATACTGAAACAGAGATGCTACTGTTTTCATCCTCTCTCCCCCACTCCCAAGCCTCCCAAATGTTTTTGTTGACCGAATTCTGCAGATGCTCATCCATTCGTCATTGAGTGATTCAAACCTATTTTTCTGCATTACAACAATTAAAGTGGAATTTCCGACATAAAATGAGTATTATTGCAGTTATTTAGAAGTATTTTTAAAAAGAAAAAAATTCAACCTTTAAGATATCTCCGAATTCATTTTTTTCTAAAAATTATCTTTGTTAGCGGTTCATTTTGGTGGAATGTGAAAGAAACTATTAGTTTAATTAATATAGTGAATGCAATCTAACTGAAGAGGTGTCAATTTAGCTTTCAGTCAGTGCTAGCACAAGCATCAGCGGGTGTATTATTCTGTAATGGTAGCCGATAACGTTTATACTTTTAACATTAACTCCCAACAGTTGATGAAGTAGCTCTAATACACAAACTGTGGCTTGCTAATGTATCTATCATACACAAAGCCAAAAGGCATCTCAAATGATAGAACGTATACAACCAATGACAGATCTATTCATGTAATTATCTTGTAATTTGATGAAATATTGACACCAGCCATTTTACGTACCAGTAATAGTAAATCTTGCTTTTAAGAACAAACTAAAATGAGAGTTAAATAAACTTCCCAGCATTCAAATGGTGAGTTATTATTAACTTTGCACTTTTCAGAACTGTACTTCAAAGTACTCAGGATGCATAACAAATGTTCCATATTGAA